ACAAGGCCCGTAGACAGGGGGCCCCTCACTGTGACATTGTTCAGGCATTTCTGGAATCTGCAGTCGTCTTTTTTCCTAATAAACCTAAAGCCTTTAGTGGAATTGAAATATGATCTATAGGCAGGATATTTTAAGGGAAAATTGAGGGACATTCCGTGATATCTGATTTATACATGATGCAAGTTCTTTGATAATTATTTTTGTCCTTGAAGTCTAAAATAAGAAACAACTGCTAACAAAACATACTTATCTCACCTTTTAAAATACAAAACGGTAAAATGTCTGAATAGAATATTGACCTGTGGCCAGCATGCACTTAGTAGTTAAATCATGTAGCAGTTTCTCTGTCTTTAAAACTGGAAAACATGGAACACTCAGAACTGTAAGGCTCATGGTGAGCAGGTCTTTCTGTACAGGTCCAGTAGGGGGAGACACACAGCGCTTCACCTCTGGCTCCCTTTGTGGAGGAAGAGTGGGGTGTTATTCCACCATCAGCAACTCATGGCACCCTCATCTCCAGGGACTTGGGAACTTTCCTGTCCTATTCCAGAGGAAGCCTGAAGCTGTCCTGGTTCTATTACCTACTTCACAAGCCTCTTGGGTCTCTGCTTTCTTCCTGCTCTCACCAGCTTTTTCACTTCTTAGTTCTGAGATAGTATTCTTTGATTTCATCTAGGCTCCCCTACTTGAACCAGGAAAGGATGTCTGGTCTCAGTGAACATGACTGTCCTCACCAAAGCATTCTACAATGCCCCACTCTGAAATTAGCTTCCCCACTCTTTTCACCCCTATTATTGTCTCTTGTAGAACCTGATCTTTTTCTTCATACTGCACATGAAGGAATATTTCATTTTTACGCTTGATATTGACTTGCTTAATCTTTGCTTCAAATTCCATTTAGTTGGGAGCCATATGTGACCACCACGTGTCCTGTTGACCACTATTTAGCCAGAAGGTCACATGGGTTTGTAACTCAAAACACTTCACACCCCAAATGAAGACATGGCTCCTTTTGATTACACTGATATAAAATACATTTCTTCAGTTAGAGTCCAATGTTTTTCATCAAAATAAACCATAGAAAGAATATTTTTCTTCCTTAATATCTAGTGCTGTATAATTCTTGTTCTAGATTTTTGCCCTTGACAAAATCTAGATCCAGTGTGTTCGACCTGTTGCAGGATTTTTTTTTTAAATTGCCTTCTTAATATAGAAGTTTCTACTACACATTTGAGTAGCCTGTGTTTTTCATGAAACAGGGAAAACAGAAAGCTTTCAAACCTGTTAGTCCAGTCAAGGCCCTTAAGTTGTATAAGCCTTTGAACCATGCAAGGAAGTCAGTAAGGCTGGAGGGCTTTCAAGGATAAGGCACTGCTTTCTTTTTCATTTAACTAATCACTGTCTGCAGGGGAATGTAAATGGTGCCTTTTGTCTTCCTGCAGTTTGAAAGGGGGGAGGGCATGGCTTGGGTGGGAAGGCCCTGCTCAGAGAATGGGCACCCTGAATTCTACCTGCACTTCCTGCTGGGATGTGATCCCAGGTAATTTTTTAAGATCATGAAATACAAGAATTCTTTCTAGTTTCCAGGGGTGAGGCCAGGAGCATTCTATGCAATACCTTGTTTAACCTTGACAACTGCCTGGGAGAAAATCTCAGCAGGAAGCCCAGGAGATTGGAGTGTTCCAGATGTTCCCGGTCTTCTAGTATTAGGGTACTGCCCCAGATGTGACAAAAGAACCACAAAGAGCAGGAAGACAGAGGTTGTTTCTTTGGAAGAGGACAAACTATGTGGAAGCTATTGAGGTTTGGGGTTTTTATCTAAAAAGATAGGGTTAGTAGGTGGTATAAAATTAGGGCCTACCCCTTGTGACCCTCCCCAAATGGTTATGCCATTGCACAAAGACTGCTAAAGTATGGAAGTCTTATGCCTGTGCTTTTGATCCTCTTTGCTCTTGATGGTTTAACCTCGATATAGGGAGTGGGCTCCACAAGGACATAGGGCCATTATCAAGATCTTTGACCCAGGATGTGGGCCATCTAGGGTTTTAGAATGGAATCTTGTGTCTGGGCATTTCCTCTCTCCTGTTCATATCTTCCTAGCTGCCTGTGCTAACAGAATTCTTCACTTCCCAGCTCTGGCTTCTTCTTTTTCATGATGGCATGCCTTCAGCATCTCCTCCTCCCTGATACAATATGGCTTGTGCCAGGGATTCTGATGCAGCCCCTGGTATCTTAGAGTAGGCATAGAAGGTAAGGGGTCAGAGGGAATTTGTATTTTGCTTCCTTCATTGAAGAGAGATGTAAAGCCTGCAGATTGTGGCCTGAAGCTTGTTTGGGACAGGGAAGTTTTCAGAAGGGTGATGAGCATGGCTTCTCTGAGGAGAAGACATTGAAGCTGAGACATCAATGACGAGGCCAAAGGAAGTCGATTTGGAGAAGATTGCAGGTGAGAGAAGAAACGTGTGCAAAAGCTGTTGACTGTGAAGGGACTTAGCAGTTTTAAGAGTGCACGCAATGTCCTGTCAGAATGTCATGGAGGAGAGAGACTGATAACGTCAGCAGAGTCTAAGGTGCCGAGTGTGCAGGGATTTCTGGACTGGAAAGAGATCACACCAGCGTGCACAGCAGCAGTTGATTGATGTTGGGGGAGTGCCCTGGAGACTGCATTGGAGACCCAGGTGGGATCTGGGCATTTAGGTAAAAAGTATCTGAATGACCGATAGATGTGTCCACTGACATGGTCTGGACTAGCTGTGGAAGGTGGACCCCTCTGACACATATGGTATGTGTCGTAGGGTATGATGGGCAAGATTTCTGGGATTATGGGATTTATTTTAACTTTTTATCTTGCCTACTAATCCTCTTCTTTCATGATCTCCACATAGGCATGAATGTGAACAGTTTTACTTATTTTTTGTGTGTGCCTCTTTTTAAAATTCCAATGCCTAGAATTAGGTGCCCAGTGTGTGCTTGGTGAGCAAAACTATCTATCTATGTGTCCAGGCTATGTCAGAGCCACAGCCTCTAAGACAGCAGCAAAAGATTGAGGTGCCCAGAAAATCAGGACCGAAGCAATCATTCTGAGGTTTCCCTTTGGAATGAGACATCAAACCCTAACATGGGGCTAAATTAAGGCGCCAGCACAGCCTCTTTGATGCTGCTCATTCACCCCGCCCTGCCCTCCCTACTGGGTCAGGTGACAACTCTGTATTCTCGGGGTGCTCTGTCCTTGTTACAACACCTCAACTTAGCATTCTGCATCAGATTTATGGATTCACATATCTGAGTCCTCCCTGTAAACCACATGCATTGCAATTCTTCTGCACTATTGTGTGCCTAGCATACACCTGGGTGCATGGCCCTGACTGGTGCTCAATGAGTATGTATTGATTCAATGACTCCTCATTATCACTCACCTATATTGCTGTAATCTAGAGTGTATAAGACACTTCTGCAATGCTTATGTGGTCTCCTTTGTAAGGCAGGAGGAATTCCCCCAACTTTGCACATGAAGAAGGGCAGACCGAGTGCATTTGTGGATAACCATTATGATAAATACATGGATGGCATGAAAAAAAAAAATGGCTGATGCATCAGTTGCCTGGAAAGGGATTCTGATTCTGTGTGGGTTTCTGCCTAGGAGAGCAAGGGTATACAACTGTTTAAGATACACATATAATGGTGATGTGCAGTAAAGTTGCATTCTGGCCTAAATCAGCGCTTCACAAACTTTAAATAGGCATACAGATCACCTGCGATCTTAGTAAAAGGCAGATCCAGGCTCAACAGGTCTGGAGTGAGACCCAAGATTTTTGCAATTCTAACAAACTGCTGAAACTTCGGGCCCACACTTTCTGCAGCAGGACCTGAGTATCAGGAAACTCTGATAATCAGAGAAGATTGCATATAGCCTGTCCTGAAAAGCGAGGGCACATTCAGGCTATGGTCACCATCCAGCAATATACATACTGTGCCATGAATTTGGAAGATGAAATTGTGACTGGGTGGACTCACCAGGGTTCTTTCCTTTTTATTTGTTTATATTTTAATGACATGGGACTTGAACTCAGGACCTAACACTTGCTAGGTAGATGCTTTACCACTTAAGCCACTCTCTTACAGGCCTTGTTCACTTTTAGCTATTGTTCAGATAGGGTCTTGTGTTTTTCCCCAGACTGGCCTTGGACCTGCATCTTTCTACCTATGCCTTCAGATAGCTGGGATTAAAGGTGGCTGCCACCATTCCCCAACTTATTTTGTTGAGATGAACTCTGGATAACTTTTTCCTAGGACTGGCCTAGAACCCTGATCCTTCTGATATCCTCTTCCTAAGTAACTTGAATTACAGTAATGGACCACCATGCCCAGTTCTGGTCTCATCTTTCTTGATTTAGCAAATCTCTCTCTCTCTCTTTTTTTTTTATATAGTGCAGCTCATTGCCCCTTCTGGCCAGCCTTGTTAGTACTTTCTTTTAATACTTATGAAATCAAGAGGCAATCAATACCTTGTTCTTACTAGCAATATTATGAACTCTTTGAGGGTGGATGTTGGTATCTTCATCATTCTGTCCAGTGTATACTAGTGTCTGCCAGGCATGCCAGGCAGAGGAGAACAGAGCACCTCATCGCTTGGCCCTTCAAGGACATGTGTCATGATTGGCAGCATAGGTGAGAATGTAGCTTAGTGGTAGAATGCATGCCTAGCATGTGTGATGTCCTGGGTTTGATCCCCAATACCACCAAAAAAAAAAAAAAAAAGAACAAAATTGACTGCGTAGAGCTCATCATGTAATGAGCTCACTGTGTAGTGGTGCAGATAAAAATAAGACGATGGATGTCAAGCATATTTTGCACAGTGCCCCCAACAGAGAGTTATACTTACCTGTGGGAAGCTGTTGTGCCTCCCCACAGGACGTTCTCAGTACGCATACGTTGAGAATGAACCCAGGAAGAGGGGATGCATGGAATCATGAATGTGTTCTTTGTGTTTGCCTTTTTAGTCAGGTCTAATAAGGACACGAAAAAATGAATTCCTCATCTCACCGTTACCTCAGCTGCTGGCCGAGGCACACAACTACAGCTCCCCTGCGGGTCACCATCCTCATGTACTGTACAAAAGGACAGCAGAGAAGAAGGCCCAGGGGTACCATGGCTCCCCTGGCTCCCACTGGACTTACCCTGGTCACTCCCCAAGTCACACACCCCCTGCGTCCCAGAGTCGAGAGACAGAGTACCACCATCGAAGGTGGCAAAAGCAGCATTTTTGTGGACGACGCAAGAAATGTATGTAAGGAAACTTTTTCTTGCTCTGTTCTTAGGAGGGCCTCACCAGTTGTCTCGAGTGCGGCTGGGTGTGCTGACTTTGCAGGGAGAGGCAGGTTGCGCTGAGCACTCTGCGATGATGTCTTGGAGAAGGACCAGTGATTGTCCCTGCCTGGCAAAGCTGGATGATCAGTTCCTCTAGGTTCTGTTAGGAAAGAGTTAGATACAGGCTCTTTTGCCTCTTTCAGTTTCTTTTATGTTTAGCCACAGGAACCAATCTTATCTTGGCCTCTGTGTTCTTAGGGAAAACACTCCCATGATGAAAGAATTCAGAGGTTGACTTCTAGATGTGGTTGGATGTCCTTCTAGGGACATGAAGAAGAAACTTCTCAGAAACAAGAACATTGACTCTGGAGGGGAGGTGGCAGTGAAATATAGGGACTCTTGGGTATGCTTTGTGACCCAGTGAAACCTTCTATGTTTTCTAGACCAGCAATGTGCAATAGAAATATAATACAGTCCCTAAATGTAATTTAAAATTTTCTAACAGTAACATAAAAAAGTTTAAAAAGTTAATTTTTATCATTATTTTAACTAATCCAATAAACACAAAACATTATCATCTCAACATGTAACCAAATTGCTAAGAAGTGCATACTATATGAACAAAAGTGGAATTAATTATAGCAGTGGTGTTTACATTGGTTTTGATGTGTGTCTGATATGAGATACCCAACCTAATCTTAGGGCAATCTTATACATGGGTGTCCCAGGAAGAGGCAACTGAGATCCCGGGTTATAGGGTAAATAAGTGGCAAATCTGAGGCTTTAAATCTAACTCAAAATGATGTAGTCCTAGAATTTCACTCTGTGGAGAGCTGATTTTACTGTTGTAGCCACTGTACCAGTTGTTACAGTATTAGTTCAGTACATAGTTACTGTCCTGAGCCTTCTAAGTCCCTTTGCTCTCCAGGGCACCCTTGAAATTGTCACTATCCATTACCTAAATGTGTCATAGCTGTCTTAACAGGCATTTATAGGTACTCAAAGACTGTGGCCAGTATTAATTCTGTTAAGTTTTGAAGCTATTTATGAAAGAGTTTAAGGTAGTTTTTAATATCACTCATGCATTGTTTCCTCAGTAATTAAGTCAATACCACTTATTATATATGCTACTTTTTTTGGGGATATACTGGAGATTGAACACAGGGCCTTGCGCTTGCTAGGCAAGAGCTCTACCACTTGAGCCACTCTGCCAGCCTTTTTGTGCTACTTTTGAGTTTGTATTGATGAAACAAGAAGTATAAGGCCTGTGCAGTGTTTTATAGGAGTTTGCATTTAAAAAAAAATAATGTATTAACTTATATCTGAAGGGTAATGTCTATTTTTACAATTTGGGAGTGACAAAATGAGTATTTTTTCCTCTAAAGATTGCTTGCTTGATTTTTGTTGACTTGCCTTCTCTTTTGACTAGAAGTGTAGCTTTTACTCTTTTTAGAGCATTTTTGAGTTACAAATTCTCACCCATCCATCAGACTGCTCATCCATGCATCCAAACATCTTTTGAATAGATCTCTCTCAACCACACACTACGTGCAAAGCACCAGGACCATTAGTGTCACTTGTTAGTGGAGTGGTGAGGTGGAGGTGTCATAGCTTCTCTCTCTCTGTCTCTCATCTTTCCCAGTTATTCTCTACTTATATTCTTTCCAAATGTTCTTATGTTCATCGTAGATTTCCCCAAGCCTCCCACAGAGGACACCTATCTAAGATTTGATGAATATGGGAACTCAGGACGGCCCAGGAGATCAGCTGGAAAGACACAAAAGGGCCTAAACGTGGAAACCCTGGTGGTGGCAGACAGGAAGATGGTGGAAAAGCATGGCAAGGGGAATGTCACCACATATATTCTCACAGTCATGAACATGGTAAGGGAGGTTATCATGAACGCTTCTGGCTCTGCAATGGACCCAGAAATCATACAGTTCCTTTTCATGGCTGGAATAGCAGATATAGCCACATGATTTTATTGGGAAAAAAAGTTGAATTTTGAGAAATTAATGGGTATATGTATTTTGTGAAATTGAAGTCAATGCACTTGTAAATGTCTGATTCCTACTGTGAGTTTTAGAACTTTTAAAGATTTTATGTGATTTTAATCATTTCAACAGGTTTCTAGCTTATTTAAAGATGGGACCATTGGGAGTGACATAAACATTGTTGTGGTCAGCCTCATTCTTTTGGAACAAGAACCTGTAAGTGTTACATTCATTTATTTCTGCATTCACTCTGTCATTCAGGTCACATTTACCAGAACACCTACACTTGGTCCATCCATGTACTAGTCATTGGAAAGTCAAATTTGAAAATATGCTGACCCCTATCCTCAAGGAAAGTATAGTCTAATAGGTCCACAAAATAATTGTATATTAACTTATATAATATATAGATATAGATACGCACATGAAAGACATTAAATCCATATATAATATAAATATTTGTATATTTATATAATACATAGATATAGATACATGCACACAATGATGGACATTAAATCCATATATAATATAAATAAAAAGTAAGCTATGTAAATATTATATGGTCTGATAAGGAAGGTAAACTTGATTATAGATTTCAGGATTAGCTGGATTTTGGATATGCTAGGTAATTTTAGATAGATGCAGAAGGGTGTTTTGAAAATATGAAATCATCAGAAAATTCTTATAGTAAACCTGTGATCTCCTCAGCACCATCTTAGGTACTGCAAGGAATACACAGGGGTTTTTAATAGCCTTTGAATTGATTATAGCAAGTGCAGGACACAGACATGGAAAAAGTCACAAAACCAGAACATATAATAACGTGTTAAATTGCATGGTACTCACTGCTCTGTAGTGTTTTGCTGTTTAAGCTGTATGTTTTTTGAAATAGAGGTCACTAGTCAAAGGCACCATTTTTAAATGCCTTGAGGCCATTCCTGTTCATCTGTAACCCCAATAAAGAATGTGAAAAGCAGGGAGTCTGGGACAAGAGAAAAAATGATATAATTGCCCAGATGTGCAGAGCTACAGAGGTTAATGACTTGTCAACTTACTTTTGAGTTTTAGAAGGATAGGATATGTGTGGGTTAAGAGACACTTCACCACTGATTCACTTCCCAAGAACAATGAAACCAGCAGCATCCTAACTCAGTGATGATTAGAGCTCTCGTCTAAAAACAGTCAACTTGACCCAACTCAGTAGTTTTGACTTAAGCAAACATTTTGATACATGATTGTTTTCAGGGTAGGTCCTACCTTATCCTTTTAGCATCCTACAACTGTTCACTTCCTCAGTGAACTTTCATTGTGTTACTGATTGATTCCAGCCTAGCATACACCAAATCCTTTGCTGGAAATTTGGCATTAGAGGTGAAGAAGCTGTGTCACTGTCTTTGTCATGCTCTGCTGAGGACGCTATTGAACTTCATTACCATTCTCTTGTTGTCACATTCTAACGTTTTATAAAGGCGGTAACTGGTGACATGAGCAAAGGTGTTCCTAACTGATGTCAGGTTATTTCCTGTAGAAATATAATTGATTGTAAACTGCATTACTGAAACTCTGTGTTCGCTCTAACAAGTTATGAGTATTTACCTAAACTAGATATTTCTCTTAAACAATTTTTTTCTCCTAGCTTAGCTGAATGTTTTCCTTTACTGACATTTTCCCTTAGCAACATGATATTTCTGGGTTACCTGTACAAATGGGATGATCTCCGTTCTTAGCTCTATGACAAAGTCACACTCTTGTTTGTGTGGGTTTCCCTCAGGGAGGACTACTGATCAACCATCATGCAGACCAGTCTCTGAATAGCTTCTGTCAGTGGCAGTCTGCTCTTGTTGGGAAGAATGGCAAGAGGCATGACCATGCCATTCTGCTTACGGGGTTTGACATCTGTTCCTGGAAGAATGAACCATGTGACACTCTAGGTATGGTATGAACAGACCCTTCATGCATGTCTGTATGGTAAAAGCATAGTTTAGGAACTTTCTACTGGATGCATGGCCCTTGCAAAGCTTATTAAAGAGACCTAATACAGTCATGTGTCACTTAATGATGGAGAGACATTCTGAGAAATGTGTTGTTAGGTGATTTTGTTGCATGAACTCACAAACTAAGATAGTTTTGATGCCACTAGAAACTATCCTCTTTCTGAGACCACTGCCATGTATGCAATGTGTTGTTGACTGACCCGTCATTACACACATTATGCAGCACCTGACAGTTTAAATTGTGGAGTGTCCTCATTGTACCCTGCTGAATGATGTTCTGTTTGAACTCAGGGTGGAATGGGAAGGTCACATCCTTTAGTCAGATTTTTATCTTTTTCTTTATTGACACTATCGATGGTCACTGAGGTGTGAGATACATCACTGTTTGACCAAACAAGTAGCAGGTTATTCCATAAACATCATGACCATGGAAAAGGGAAGCTGAAGAGAAATTAACCTAGAGGCATAGTCCAGTTACATGGACTCTAGGTAGCAGTGCCTCCCTTAGCAAGCTACTCGATTTCAAAGAACTCAGTTCTCCCTTCTTATACAAGGCAACAAGAGTAAGGACTGTATCTTTTACATCTATGCTGATTTTCTAGTATATTCCATTGTACATAGTAGAAATTTAGCCTTTGTTTTTTTGATGAATTAGCAATTAAGTCAAGGTCAGTAAACTTTCTCTGTAAATGGCCAGACAGCAAATGTGTTATGTCCTGCAGGCTCTAAGTCTCTGTGGCAACTATTCAAGTCAGCTGCATCAGTAAGAAAGTGGCACAGACAGGCATGGACAGTGAGTGGGACTGCATTCTAAAAATGCTCATTGACAAAACCAGAAAGTGGAAGCCATGCTTTGCTGATGCCAGTGATGGTCCAGACTGATGAAATTTGGGGGAGCTGAGAAAAGCTTACATGACTTATCCCCCTTCAGTTTCTTCTTCAAAATGCTTTCTGATCCATTATGTTAGAGATAAAGGTAGATTGAACTTCACAAAATTTTATATTTCCCAGCTGCTCTATATTGTCTCTATTATGCCCTAGAAAATAAGTCTATTTTAATAATCCACCATTAACCACTATCTTCAAAAAAACACAACCACTTTGAGAAAACAAATTTTAAGATCTATTCATACTTTGAGTATGGGATGTACAAAGTAGCATGTAATAACCCAATATACCATTGATGTTTTAGAAAGATGTTGACATTTCTGAAAAAGATGCTGTTTTATCTGTTAACCAGGGAACCAAGGGAAAAGGAGAACTTTGGATAAACAAATATAACAGCAGGAATCCCCCTAACTAATCTGTAGGTCACTCACTTTAAGAAGCATGTCCTCATGCAAAGAATCTGAGCTTTGACTCAAATGTGCATGTGCTCAATTTCTGAGTCCTGGACTTGTGACTGTGCCATCTTGAGCACATTGACTCCCCCTTCTGAGCCTCAGTTTCCTTATCTATGATCGTCTACACACACATCGACATATATACTAGACTATAACACAGTTTGTAGTATTTGGCAGCTACTGGTTTAGTGACAACGATGCTGATACCACCTACCATAGGTGGCTTCACATTAGATTTCCCAGATGACTTGCACATCTTGGCAGTGAGGTGGGTACAGTCGCTTCACAAGCATGTACTTAATTCTAAATAGCAAGTCAGGCAATACTGATAATTAGTACTCCAGACTGGGAAGAAAGACATTCACACACTATAATATAGGTCAAGAAAGAATCAAGTGCTAGTTGTAATGATTTTATGGCTGGTCCTAGCAGGAGGTAAACTTTAGAGAACAGGAAGAGTTATCAAGTCACAGTGAACAGAAAAGAATTTAGTTTGCATGTGGTACCAAGGCATTTCCATGTTCTCTGCTCCAGAGAAAGACCAGGATGTGTGTTTTCCACTGGAAAATATAGTCTGCACTTTTGACAGTAATGCCACCACTCAGCTAATATGATGTACTGGTTAGCTATCATTTTGTCAATTGCTCTGACTCAAATAATAATCTCAGATAAAGCATATACATTTTTAGTGGCTTATTCTCCCTTATGTAAAATGGGAATTACAGTACTCCTATTGACCTCACAAAGGAGTTAGGAGAAGCAATCAATTACAATATCCAAAAAATGGCAAAAGATATGAAATACTACATTTATATATTAAGTCAGGACAGAGAACTATATACTTTTAGTATTGTCCTGTAAAATACTATGTACATCTGTCCATTAAGCTGAAACTTGGTAAGCTTTTTGAGGACAGGAGAAAAGGCCATGCATGTGTGTTCCTCCTTTGGATTAACTTTGGAAGTTGGTCTTTCACTAGGGTTTGCCCCTATCAGCGGAATGTGTAGTAAGTACCGAAGTTGTACCATCAATGAAGACACGGGACTTGGCCTGGCTTTCACCATCGCTCATGAGTCAGGGCACAAGTAAGTGGCTCCTTGATTCACCATTTTATCCAAAAACTGGACCAGCCATTCTTTGGCATCCCTGTAATAATGCTTACTGATCTAGGTACAGTAAATCAGATAAATCTTGTGTAAATCTTAGAATAGTGACTGACTATAGGGAGAGCTCAAAATAGCCAGTTATTGTTGACACTTCTCTTTCTGTGTTGCATTATTACATTGTGTGAGAAAATGGACTGCATGCCATTTCACCAATTCTCTGGTCTTTCAGGTATTTATTTTCTTTCACCATAAGTATGGTTACAACATATTTGTTTGGATAGACTACCTTCAAAGGATAGCTGCATAAACAAGATTGTATCAGAATAATGTATTTATTTCCACAGCAATTATACCTGCCTTACAAAAAATATGCTCTGAAAAGAAAACTTTACTTCTTTGTGTGTGTGTGTGTGGTACTAGGGCTTGAACCCAGGACCTCATGTTTAGCTAGGTAGACACTCTATCACTTGAGCCACTTTGCCTGCCCTTACTTCTTTAAATAATAAGATTAAGAATAATCTAATGATAGAATTCACATCCATGTCCATCTGGTCCATCTGTGCTCTGTCTCCCTTAAGAAAAATCATAAAAGGGTTTTTTTTTTTTTGAGCACTGAGTTTTTTATAGAAGTTTATTCCTCCAATCCCCAATGCAAACTTTAAGTAAGCTCTGTCTGATGGTGTATATATCATATGTGGGTATTATATACATGAATCGTACCTTTATTCTACCTGTCAGACTTGTAATCATTTAGGCACAATGGGCATGATTTCTAGGAATTAGAAATCACTTTTCTCACACTGGGTGTGGTGGTGCATGTCTGTAATTCCAGTCATTGGAAGGCAAAGACAGAAGGATCACAAATTCAAGACCAGCTGGGGTTGCTTAGTGAGACCCTATCTCAAAAAACAAAACCACAAAAATGTTTTCTCATGATGGATTTTAAAAAAATTAACTACATATGTTTATGATAGTTGGTTTCAAACATTAATTTTTAAAGATGTCTCTTATTCTAAGGGAAATTTATTATAATCTGAGTTTGTGATTTCATCTAATAAATTGATCATCACTGGAGAGAATTCTTCATATCACACTAACCTAATGTGTGAATAGTTCATAAATAGCTTAAAAATTTCTCTCTGTCTCTATTTCTCACTTCAAACTTCATAGTTCCAAGATCGGTGTCAGAGAAAAAAAATTGGTATTTTAAATAACAAAATTGACTAAGCTTTAGCTTAGAAATCTTGACCAAGATTTTCTAGCCCTTAAAATGTACAGCAGGTACAACATTCTTAAGTTTTGTGACTAAGAAATAATACAATGAAGTCCTTACCATTCTTTAAGTTTTTATGCATGGATTTTGCAGTAGTTTATAGTAACTCATTTCTCTCTCTCTTTCTCTGTCTCTCTCTCTCTCTCTCTTTTTCACTTTCTTTTGTGGTGCTGGGGTTTGAACTCAGAACTTCACACTTGCTGGGGTGCTCTATCACTTGAGCCATTCCACCAGCCCTTTTTTGCAGTGGGTGTTTTTGGGATAGAGTCTCATAAACTATTTGCTCAGGTTGACTTCCAACTGCAGTCCTCCTGATCTCTGCCTCCTGAGTCACTAGGATTATCAGCACCCTACTGGTCTTTCTCTCCTTCCTCTGTCTCTCTCTCTCTCTCTCTCTTTCACAATTTCAGTCACTGTTTCTCACCTGGTTTCATTAATTCCCAGTGCATCTTTTGCTTCCTCTGGCTGTTAACTTGAGGAATGGGCTTCACAGGAGGGCGATTGTCTTTCTGTTTCAGCTTCGGCATGATTCATGATGGTGAAGGGAACCCCTGCAGGAAGGCTGAAGGCAATATCATGTCTCCCACACTGACTGGGAACAATGGGGTCTTCTCATGGTCTTCATGCAGTCGACAATATCTCAAGAAATTCCTTAGGTAAGACGGGTGAAAACCAGGTGCATGCCAGGTCTGGAATGGCAATAGAGACTAGTGTTTAATAGACGTGAAAAACTGCTGGTTGGTAGAAATTTCTTTTGACCTCCTAATGAACAGGAAGAATAAAAAGCCCTGTGATGTTGCTGCTGGTGATTATGGTGACATTTTTGTTGTTGGAAAAAATACATCGAAGTCCAAAAACTGTGCTAAACACTGTCCACGTGCCGCCCTCCTGTGTCCTCACAGCAATCCAATAGCATTTCTGTCCTAGAATTGAGGAAATTAAGTCTTGAAAGGTTCACTGTACTGCTTAAGGGACTATAGCTGATAAGTTGTAAGCAGAAGACTCGCGTTCAGGTCTGTTCTGACTCTAAAACCTGTATTCATCTCCCTTCTTTGACTCCCAAATCTCCTAGATATATTGCCTTTTTTGCTGTGATCAGTTATTTTACTCTCATCAATCAGTATCTTAAGAATGTTAAAAATGCTGTAATGGTATGTTTATTTTTGTTTTCATGGTGCTGGGGTTTGAACTCAGGGCCTGTGCTTGCTAGGCAGTTGCTCCACTACTTGGGCCACTGTCCACCCCATTCCTTTTTTGCTTTGCTTATTTTTCAGGTGGGGTCTCACATTCTTTTGTCAAGGGTTGACCTCAGACTGTGATCCCCCTACCTATGTCCTCTTGCGTAGCTGAGATCACAGATGTACACTATCATGCCTGACTTAGTGAATGAAACGAGATCCTACTAACTTTTTGCCTCAGTTGGCTTCAAACCACAGTCTTCTTGATCTCTGCCTCCCAGGTAGCTGGGATTATAGATGTGAGCTACTGTTCCCAGCCCTGTGTGTTTTTTTAATAAATAGAGCATTTCTTGATTGGTAGTTATGTAAAATTCTTTTGATCACTGAGAATTCCTGACTATGTTAGTAAAAGTAGGAGTTAGGAAGGGAGTACTCTTTGATTCATATTAAGCAATGAACCCAAGGCTTATAGGTATAGATATATCTTTTTAATTTCCATTGACTCACATGGACACAGGTTCTAGTCCATCTCCCTTCAACCAGATATTAGTGAAGTTTCTTTGGGAATTGACATTTTTAATATATTTGTACCACTACACATAATTTGAAAATGTTTACAGAATTACCAAGGTATATAGGCAAGCCATATATATAGTTTCAATATGTAAGAGTGTCTAACCAAATGATTCCCAAGGGATGGCAAAATCACCATAAATCTTTTGCTAAATAATAAGTGTTACCACACAGGCTTTTCTTGTTAGTCTTAAATTCATGATTTGGGGCCTGAAATGATCTTTTCTAAGTCATATAAGAATATAATTAGTAAATATTATAAATCAAGATCAACTTGATGTACATAGAATTTCCATCACGAATGGCACCAGCAGCTAATGTTGCTTATTATGCTATGATAAGTGCATTACATTTTCTTGTTTGATATGCATGACAACCTTTATTGTCATTATTGAAGACTATGACAGTTCTATAATATGCTCTTGGATCCATATTCTGACCCCAAAATTATATGTAACCACACATGCTACTTAATATCTAAGTGACACCACAGTTTAATTATTTAAGTAAGTTGAGATTTTTTTTTCTAAGAATATCTATGTCATCAAGATTGATTTTCATCCTCAACATGTCCCGATCAAACATACCTCAGAAATGTTTCTGCCTCATGCCCCAGTGTTTTCTTCCTCCTGGTTCTTTCGATAACCTTATTTTTGTTTGCAAAGCTTATTGGAGGTAACATACATCTTTGATGTCTGCCTCCTCCTCTGTAAAAAGCACCCCATGATTTAAAACCCTATGAAGATACTTACTGTCTCTGTCTGGTTTATTTTGTACCTTTAGTGCTTTATGCTTGCCACAAAGTAGGCACTCAATAAATTTTGTTGTCTGAGACCACTGAAGGGAGTTTTCAAATATGTTTATCTTTCCCATCTTCTATCCAGTCCTAAGGCCTGTAAGTTGAATGGCTAGAACTTCCAGTGTCTTGTAAAACCCTTCAGGACTATGTACATTCCACCCTGTTAGACAGGACTCTCACTGTTTGGAATAAATACATGTTTTCATTTATATACCTGTTTCTTTAACCATGTTCTATTTTTTCTTTACATGACTGCATTCAGAGGAGTGTTATAAATGGAAACATCATAGATGACCACAGTAATTAGTCACGATGTGTTATCCCTACAGCACACCTCAGGCTGGATGTCTAGTGGATGAGCCCAAGCAAACAGGGCAGTATAAATATCCAGACAAGCTACCAGGACAGATTTATGATGCCGACACACAGTGCAAGTGGCAGTTTGGAGCAAAAGCCAAGTTATGCAGCCTTGGCTTTGTGAAGGTATGTTTGCTTGTGATTTTTCAACTTACATTAAGATTCTGCAGTGGGTCTGTGTGCCTACCAAAAGGTAAACATTTGGTTTGCTGAGGCCAAAGGTTAGAGTCTGGGTTATCTCTGACATGTCAGTTGTTTGGCATGATAATTAAATGGTAATTTTACTGTCGATGAGTTGTCCAGGCTTCTCCTCCATAGACCAGGCCAGGCTTAAATACCACTTGCCTGTCTCCTTGGAAGAAAATCCTCCTCTCTACACAAAGACTTTATCCCTCATAATAAATCTTGGAATAATAGCCCTTGCCTACTGCTAATCACTGTTGTTATTTTCTTCACGTTTGCATTCTCTTTTAATGTGATACTCTTAAATCACCACCACCCCAAAATACATCCTATGCCTTTTGTAGTGTAGGAAAACTATGACTGGTAGCTAACTTTTTTTTTTTGATGTGTGAAAATTCAAGGTGCATCTTGAGTAGTCTTAATAAGATTTTTGTGTTAAGTCTTTTCATTCAGGACTGTGAATAAAATGGGAAAATGCAAAGGTCAGAATGTAGAAATGAGAACAAACTTGTTCCATTTAGCCATGAATTACATCACTGAAAGCATCCCTAAAAACTAGAACTATTTTTAAGTTGGCTTATTCTCAGTATCCTATGAGAAATATTGAAGTCCTAGATAGCTGGGTACATGGAGACTAAGAAGTTTTATAGCTCCATTCCCCCCCTCTCCTATTAGTTCTCTTCCTTTTTTCCTTCTTTTCTACCACCACCCACCATCACCACCTGCAGAAACATGGACCAGCAACACCACTGCTCTCATAGTTACCGACATCACCGACACCCGCTACCATCTACTACAACCATCACCACCACTACCACTGCCATTTCCAGAATTCCTCAGTGAGCCTCTGCCTGCTCCACAGAAGGCAGATATTTGTTTTACCTGACCTCACTCTTCAAGAAATCTTTGAAGTAAAAATTATTGCCCCTTTTCACCTGGAGCTTAGAGAAGGAATTCAGCTTGCCGAAAGCTAGAAAATGTTTAAAGGGTGGAATTTAAACAAAACAGATCATCTACATTGATGTTCTGCTTCCTCTTCTCCACTGGTGAACACCAGATTTTCCTGAATTAAACTAATTAACATTAACACCCATCTTCACTAATTGTACAGTATCTCTTTACTAACTATATACTTACTTTCTGTAAGTCAACTCACTTTCAAACTATAATTCCTTTCCTAAGAAACAAGATCTGTCAAATTGTAGGTTTGATATGGGGTTATACATTTCAATGCAATTTGAAAGTATAACTGTTACAAAAAGGTTAATCCAGAGCCACATACCTTTGGGTGTACCCTTTATGGCACACGGACTTTACTTTGGTAAATGCTAATGTCATATGTAAAAATGAGCAAATTCAAGGCTGATTCTATTTATTAGAGACTTTTGGCAGAAGTAATTAGCCATTCACTTTGTTGAAAGAGTTTGTGTCTAAACTTTGCCTCTTAATCACTTTATTTAGAGAACTCAATCGTCAAATACTTACTGTGTACTTACTATGGAGTGAGTACAGCACTGGTAATGAGGGAAATTTTCTTGAGAGATACAAAGGAAGTTTCTAAAATTGCTCTCATTCCCTTAGGATCACACGTTCAACTGACATTTGTGGGATGTCTGTTCTGTGTCAGGTAGTGTGCGGGGCTTAGACAACCGTTCTTAAATTATAGATCATTTTCTGGAACTACACTGTATTTTGAAAAGACAGTGTCTCATTCACAGTGTCTTCCCCGGGAAGCAGGGCAAAGGGAAATGGAAATTCCAAGCTAGAAGACAGACTGAAATGCTGAAAGGCACAGAGATGGGACTGTCTGGAGGGGTAGGGAGACTTGGCTTAAGAAATAGATGTTTAGGGCTGGCAGAGTGGTTCAAGTCATAGAGTGCCTGTCTAGCAAGCATAAGGCCCCGAGTTCCCACCCCAGTCCACCAGAAAAAGAAAAAAAAAAAAAACCCACAAGAAGGAGATGTTTAGCTGGATGTGGAGGCACATGGCTGGCTGTAATCCTAGTACTTGAGAGACTGAGGCAAGAAGATGGTGAGTTCAAGGCTAGCCTGGACTACATAGTGAGACCCTGTTTTAAAAGGGGCTCTAAAGCCAGATGCCTGTGGCTCACATCTGTAATCCTAGCTACTCAGGAGGCAGAGGTCAGGAGGGATTGCAGTTCAAAGCCAGCCCGAGCAAATAGCTCACAAGACCCTATCTTGAAAAATCCCATCACAAAAAAGGGCTGGTGGAGTGGCTCAAGGTGTAGGCCCTGAGTTCAAACCCCAGTACTGCTAAATAAAGAAAAATAAGTAAATAAATGAGGATAAAATAAAATTTTAAAAAGGGCTCTAGGTGTTGTGATTCCAGCCTGAGGTTGAGAACCACTGAGTTGGGCAGTCTTCAGTGTTAGGTGTGTGTACACACTCCAGAGTTTAAAGTTAAAGACCTGGATTTAGGATGTTATTCTACCATTTTCTAGAAGCTTGAACAGATGAGTTGGCCTCCCTCAGCCCTAATTAGTGTCTGCATCTGTAAGAAGAAGATAATAAAAGTTCTTCCTGGAAAATCTGTGAGGATTAATCTCTCAGTACAGTTGCAGTAAATGACAAGGATTTCCTCTTGTTCCCTTCCCCTTCTATGTTCAGGTGCCATTGTCACCATTTTACCTGACTGTTCTCTCACAGTGGCTGCCTTGCTAAAGGGTCTAAGACTGTCTACTTTATCACTCATCCCCACTTCCCTCTTTTCCCAGCCTCAGATTTTCTGTCTTTGGCACATCAAGCTTGATGTGTTTCCTTCCAAAGTATTTGTATTAGTCAGTGTTTCACTGCAGTAAAAAAAAAGCATGATGTAGGCTACGGATGAAGAAAGATTTCATTAGCTCAGAGTTTTGTAGGTTCACAGGCATTAGCTCAATTCTGGACGGAAAGGGCCTGCTTGGCTGTGCGTGGTCAGCTGTGCTCGGAACATTGCACAAATAGTAAGCCAGGTGGAGACAGGTTCAGGATTGTGCAACAGTCCTTTCTTGAGAACCAACCAGAGCTTCATGAGAGCTATCTTAATCCCTTTCAAGGTTATGCCCCCAACTGACCTAATGACTTCTCACTAGGGCCCATTCCCAATGTTGCCATACTATAAACCAAGAGCTCAACAGATGGGCGCATTGGGGAACAAACCACTTCCAAGCTATACCAGTGTTCATGAAATTGAGTTGCCAGTCTAGCTAGTGGTTCCACTATAGAAGCAGACCAATATTGAGGATTCCCTCCATAGCAACGAGGGAGAACGCTCACTCGGTTATTATGTACTTAGAAAGCCTCCTGGCTCACCGAGTGAACTGGTGCTGCTTGTCAGAAGGAGCCCTGGGAGGGAATCTTATCATTGCTTCTGTGTTAGTGATCTTCCTGAGATGGAAATGAGCAGCTGAACAAATGTGTCATCTTTTAGTTGATTCTATAGTTCGGTAGCCAGTGCAAATACTATCACATAACAAAGGCTCAGTTATTTTTACACACCCAGTGAAATGGTTTGAAGCCATTGAGAAGCTATAGTGGAAGCATTTTAATTATAATGGATGGTTTGGGGCCCGTCAGCAAAAAGAGCATTTCCTTTGAAGAATAATAGGATGTGTATCTATTTCTTCTTCCAAGAATTTGACATTGGAATTAAAGAATGGCAAGAAATAGAAACTTCCTAGTATCTAATCACACCTCCCTTATAATATACCAATTTTATTGTATCATCCTTCAAGTTCTATTGACTTTCATAGTTGTGTCCACACAATGTTGATACCTTTGTATGGATTTCAAATATTTCATTACTCATGTATACAAAACCTTGCTCTACCTATTTCCCATCCTAGAATCCTGAATGGCCACCTGTGTGACAAACACCTAATCATTTTGTATTGTTGTTAAAGGTTCAGCTCAAGAGTTCTCTCCTTTTTTCCTCCAAGATGATGTGAACATTCTTTTCCTGAGGTTCCATCTCAACCTGTCTGTCACCATCAGGAGCTTGTCGTATTACTTTATAACTGTCTGTGCACATCTCTTGCCCCAGTTGGCATAATGCCTACATTTGTCTGACATACTAGCAGATACTCATTTGTTATTGGATTTGCAGTGGTGGTTGTGGCTTACTTTTTGGGGGGCATGCCCATTTTGATAAAGTGGAAGATTTTGCTCTGTCTCTTCTCTCATCCTTTCTCAAGGAAGTAGGAGTGACTTATCTGATTAAAAGGGGATCTGAGCATATATACCTCAGGATCTCAGCTTTCTGGGTCTTTTCTTTGCGTGTATGTGTGCTCCTTGGCTATGGGGCACACACTTCTCTTCTAAAATCCTCTAGGTAGAATATCTCTAATGGAGATTTGTGCTTGTCCCTTCTGCCTGCAAGCAGAAGGGGCAGTTAATTCAACACAGAGGAGACAGTGTTAGGAGACCTATTTGGCCACAGATCTTTGCCATTCACCAAGTCATCTTTATTTGCAACAATGTTGTCATCTTGATTTCCAGTTCTCTGACTTCAATGTCTTGTTCATGTACCTGTAGAACAGACAAGGGTATATTTACTATTCTACTTAAAGCCAACGGTAAGGAAATTGAAATTAAATGATCTCTTCAAGATCAGGCAGAAAGTGCCCAAAAACGAGAAAACAGTAAGCCCAGATTTTAGAATCAAAATTGTAGTGAAATCTTGCTAATAAGTTTTCCGTGAATTTGTAGAAAATGAAGGTAAGTTAGCCATTCCTTTATATAAAGATAGCTACATCTACTCAGTCCTTTCGTACCAACCAAACAATGCTTCATGCACATTATACATATTAATATGTTGATACCTATGGAATATGTATTGTTTTCCACATTTTCTGAGATAAGTGTTTTGCTCATGTTTATACAACTAGTAAATTGCAGAGCTAATATAGAGTCTTGGTAGAATACACTCTTGGCTATGTAATACAACCTCTTTATGTTATCTACCTGGAAAATATAAAATGGTACCAGTGCCATCCCCCTTATAAGATAAAAAAAGGGAAGGGGGTCAAATACTAAAATGACACATTATAAACCATCAACAGATAGTCAGTGAATACACGAAATAGTGCTTAATATCAGTTGTCAAAAATACACAGACTCAGTCACAAGGAGATCCTGCTGCATGTCCAGTGGCAACAACAATTGTCAAAAAAGGCTATGAAGCAACTGGAAATCTTATTTACTGCTGATGAGTCTGTAAAATGTTACAATTATTTTGAAAAAATATTGGCTTAACGGAATTTTTTTTTTTTCTTTTTCCTTTTTGATGTACTGGTGATTGAAATCAGCCTCATGCTTGCTGGGCAAGCACTCTGCCATGTGAGCCGTGTCCCCAGTCCTTTCGATTTTTATTTGTTTTTCAGGTAGGATCTCACACTTTGGCCCAGCCAATCTCACATCATGATCCTCCCATCTCCCCCTCCCAAATAGCTGGGATACAAAGCATATACCACCATACTCTGCCTAAGCTTTACCCTTGATCTTACCTGAAAGAAAATTTTTTAAAATATGCTCACAAAAAAAGACTTGTTCAGGCATGTTGTTAGTCATTGCTTGATTCGTAAGAGCCAAAGGCAGGAAGCAACTGCAATATCTTTTAGAAGGTGAATAGAAAACACATTTTGGTATTTGTACAAAGAAACCATATATCAATAAAAGAAGAACAAGCTATTGATATGCACAAAACATAGATGACTAAAATGCATGTTGTGCAAAACACCATAAAAAGTTCACTCGGTATGATTCTATTTGTATGAAATTTAAGAAAAAACATCACTAATCTCTGGTGACAGACATCAGACCAGTGGTTGCTCTGAGAAGGGAATTTCTGGGACAATGTGCATATTCTGTCTTGATTATGGTGTTGTGTTCAGTGGTGTATATATTTTATACAAACTCTTAGAACCATATGCTTAAAATGCGTGCACATTATCGTAGTAAATTATACCTCAGTAAACTTGATTTTAAAAAAATGATACCAGGAACAATCCTTGTTGATTGTTACTTTTCAATTATTACTTAGTGTGGAAGGTTGGGCAGTAAGGTTAAACATAAATGGTTTAAAACCCAAACTAACCAGAGACTTACCTGCTAAAGGCAATTAAGGAATTAATTTGATTTCTCTTAACAATTTTCCTATGAATGCATTGAACAGAACAATTGTATCTGCCTCATAGGGTCATCCTGAGGAGGCAGTAAAAAACATTTAGGGAAAACTCTTAGCAACAGGACCCAATTTTTTGTGACATGTTTTATTTGTTGGGTATATTTATGATATATATATATATATATATAAAATTAAAGACACTTCTTAAGGATTATACAGTCCTTATTACCAGTGAGAATTTTTAATTATAAATTCAATAATTATCATTCATATATTGACTTACTGAAAACTATTTATTGAAGCCCGCTTTATACCAAGCACTGTTCTAGGTTTTTGGGGTGAATCAGAGACAAAGCAAAGTTCCCTTCCCTCATACTACTGCCATCATTATGAGGAGAAAGGCAATGTATTGTAAACATTATAAAGAAAGAAATGAGCTAATAAATGAGTCACAAGAGTTAAGTAAGTTTGAAGTAAGATAAAAGAAGTAAGGTGGCTTAGTAGGTGGTGGCAGGTTACATTTTAATAGTGTAGTCATAAGAGGTAGAATTTAGGCAAGACTTGATGGAGATAAGAAAGTGTTAGGTATTCAGATAACTGGGGAAATAGAACAGGTGGGTGTGTTTTCCTAGCAGTGTGGAGCTAGCATGGGTTGAACACAGTGATCAGGGTGAAGTAGTAGAAGACCAAATCAGAGAGAAAAGGGGGCTCCAATGACACATAGCTTAGAAGGGAGATAATAAGGACTTTGGGTTTTCTCCAAGTGAGATAGAAAGGCATTATATAATCTTTCTCAAAGAAGACACATGAGCTGGCTGACGGGATGTGGAAGGATCTCTGTAGCTCAGTGCTGTCCACTGGTGCTGTCTACAATGACAGGAATATTCTCTGTCATCCAATAAGCCACTCTCAAAATCTGACCCTTAAGACCATGAAATATGACTGGGGTGGCTGAGAAAGTGAAATTTTCACTTAATTTTAAGTAAACTAAATTCCAATTTAATAGGTCACATGTAGCTATGGGCTACCTACCATACTGGATAGCACTGTGTTGAGAATGAACTGGGTAGGGATTTGGGAAGGGAGAGTAGTGAGGTGAGGTGAACAGGGTAATAGCAATGGAAGTGGTGTTAATTGTTCTGATTTTAAACTATTTTGAAGGTAAAGTCAGTATGATTTCATGATCTAATGGCAGATTTCCTGATGAGATGTTAGAGGAAGACAGGAATCAAAGATGGCTGTGGGATTTGGAGCCTGATCAGCCAGAAGGACAGACAGGTCATGAAATGAGATAGGGAAGGCTGAACATGGGGCAGGCTTTGGGGGGACTGATGACGATTTTGTTTTGGATGTGTCCAGTTCTTGATGCTTTATAAAAGCTGATTTTCAGAAGCCATTAACATTTTTACTTGTCAGGTTTTACTTGAAAGGGCACAATGAATACAGTCAGAGAACATGGTCAGCAATTGACAGGACCAAGTACTGATAGCTTTGAGATTCTTCTTCTTCAGAGGAAAATCAAATCCAGGCAACATGAGACTTTGGGGTCTTTGTGGTTATTTCTTTTTCTCTTAAATTATGACTTAAGTCCAGGTAATTATAGATAAGAAAAAGTTAGTTGAATATGCTGGGAAAAAAAAGAGGGAGGTACAAGCAAAAAAGTGCAAACTCCTCTCTCTGTTTACTTTGAAAGAGAGCCTCCTCAGAGGGCTTTCATGGTCGCCAAAGCATGTAGTTGGCTATAATTACGTTTGACTTCTGCACTTCACCACAGAAGAAATAACATGTTCATAAGGCCTGCCTTATTTCACTCTGGAATCCCTTGTTTTTTTGTTTCGCTTTGTTTTCCTGGTCCTCTCCAACTGCCCCATCTTAGCCCTGTGGGTTGGCATTTACTGTAGAATCTAGGCTTCCTTTTCTTTTTAAGGCCTCTTTCTCTTTGGTCTGCCATATGGTCATTATGGTGACTGCTATGGGTGTGGCTATGGCTGTCCCCTGGCTGCAAGAAAGCCTTTCCAAGTGTGGCTTGAACTGTTTCAATGGGTATTTCTCATTTCTCCAAGTTTGACCTAGATGGCTCATATTTCTGCATTAAATGGATTCCTCTGCCCCAGAGTGACTTGTTATGGAAACACATAGAGATGATGACCCCTGACTCAATTTGTTGGGAGGCTGCCTCATGGTACTTAAAATTATTTCATAGGTCTAGTGTCAGAATTAAATTGTCTAACGGTAAAGAATTGTCTAGATGATTAATTGCAATAAAGATGAAGAAAGTAAGGATGGTGATGATGACATCTGATATTTTGGAGAACTATGTGTATCAGGCGCGCTAATCACTTTGCATGCATTACAACATTTACCCTTGAGAACAACTCTGTGGAGTCAAGTGCTAATTTTATCACTTTTCACGGTGAAAACTAAGAAAAAATGCAGAGGAAACTGCAGCTTCAAGGAAATCGTGTCCACGATGAGGATTTGAATCAGACTTACTTTATTTCAGTCTTGGTTTATTCTGCTACATAGGTTATTATAATTATCATTACAAACAAGATCTATTACGCCAAGCCAAGTGTCCTCTGTTGACACCTCCCAGTCATTACTGAACACACATAAGCGTGTAGGTTCTATAGAGACTTCCAGCGTATTATCTTGCTTCTACCAAAGTCACTTGGCTCTACTTTCTGATTCCACACATCCCAGGATGTAATATTGTATATAAAACTTTGAATAGGTTCATGTTTTCCTTATTACCACCCTTACACACCTCTTCTTCCCTTTCAGGACATTTGCAAATCACTTTGGTGCCACCGAGTGGGTCACAGGTGTGAGACCAAATTTATGCCTGCAGCAGAAGGGACCGTTTGTGGCTTGAGCATGGTAAACTGCACAGTTGGAAGTTTTTAGCTCTGGGAATGGGATGAGAAGCATACAATCCAAGCTATTTGTGTTGTGACTTAGAATGGAATACCTTGACTCTGTGTCTCTTCTGCTTTGCTTTAAAGTAGCCAGCACTATTGGACCGTGATTGCAGGTCAATTGTTTAAGAAATTTGTTGTTGTTGCTTTTGTTTTTTGTTGTGTTTTAGGTGAAACCTTGAGTCAAAATATCTGTGATTCAATGAGTTAATCAGTTTCATTGCATTCTACTTTTCTTTTAAACTTGATGTCCTATTAAAGGCTTCAGGGAGCAAATGTACCCATGAGTAGCAGTCTCCAGACCAAGACCTCTGCTGCTCACCTCACCTAACCGGAGCTGTCACTGAGCTTCTGACATGCCACGTAGGTGCCCCTCACTGACAGTGATGCTCCTGTTGAAGGATGAGGGGCATCTCCATCCTCTCAGACCATTAGGTCTTTTTGTTCACGAGCATCTTTGACCCTAACAACCATCTCCATTGTGAGAGATTATGGGAGAGCTATAGCTCGAGTGAAATACTCTTGTATATTCTATTTTTCTTCTCCTCTCCCAGGAGGGTCTGGAGGGAAAAGTGAACTTGGGGCTCCATTAAATGATCCAGACTTGGAGAGTTCATTGGAAAGACTGAGATTAAATTCCCATAAATGATGAGAGATGACAGGTTTGCTGATCTGGTATCAGCTCTCTCAAGGTGGCACAGTCTGTGTAAAAGAATTGGCCATTTGTCAATCCCTCAGTCATCGTTTGAGATCTAGACACCAGAGACAGGAGATAGATGAATAAACTCAAAAGTCAGTCCTATCTCGTCAAGAAACCATAGGTGAGTGGGGAAAGCTATGCAGAAGCCAACAACTATCTCTATAAGGACACATCTTCCTTAAGCGATAATTGCTATCAAGGTCCAGATGAATGAGAACTGAATCTTGCTCAGGATTAGGGTTACACTTAGAAGTAACCACAATGAGGGGGTGCACCAAGGTAAGCATTAAGAGTTTGAGTTGAAGTTCTTCAGTGGGATAAGAGAAAAAGAGACTTTTTTTAGGGAGATGCCAAAAATAGTCACACAAGAATTAACATGTGAATTCCAGGTACTTTTATCTGAAGATATGTATGCAAGGAAAGAAAGATTTAAGCATAGTCTCTATTAAAAAGCATTGAAGTAAGTTGTGGCTATTCCATATTGAGTACTGGAAGTATTGTTAGAAGTAAGTGTGTATGGATAGAATGAAATATTTTCATTTCATATGCAGAAGTTTATATATGCATGTGTTTGTATAAATTGCTGTGTTTCTACTTTCTATTCTGATTGAAAAGCCAGAGGGAGGCAATCTGTCAGTAGCCTAACCCAATACTAGATGAATACCACAATAATAGCAAGTCCAATTAATTGAATGATTGGAACAGATCTAAAAAAAATTCCCAAGAAAGAAATTAGATTCAAATTGAGATCCATTTGTCAGGGATTTGCCTCAAGGTAAGAAGAGAATTGAGTCCTGGTTAGGTGCTTCAGCTACTGAGTTAAATTCAGTCTTGCTACTTACTTAGCTATTTGAGTGGCTATGTGATTCTGAATAAGTTAGTTTTTCTTTGCTAAATTTCTCTCATCTATGAAGTGTTTTTAACACAAAAAATTTTGTTATGATTATATGAGATTCTGCATGGGAAGTTCTCCCCACTGTTCTTGGGGAGTAGAAGCAACTTGCTCAACTATAGTTGTTGCTGGCTGTTTTTGGCTGTTGTTTTTGTTTTGTCTTAGCCTCTATACTTCCTGGTAAGGAAGATGTGTGCTTGTGGTAGACAAAAGTTCTCAAATGACTGATTGCTTTTCTCTCAAAATTTCTTAACACTGTTACATGATTTCATGCAAACTCCAAACTGGCAATTAATCCAGGGAAGAGGAAAATTAAAAACAGAAGAATTAATCAGCACATGGCAAGAATTTGAAGAGAGGAAGTAATATCTTAACCTAGACAAAGTGCACTAGCAACCAAACCACACAACAAACAGCCACGAAGCCAAATGTATCACAGGGGAAAAGTGAAGATTTAAAAGTCAAACAACCTCCCCATAATTTTGTAACCGAACCCCTACTTCTCAGCAAAATCTGACATGATCCAAACCCAACACTTTGGATCTAATTGCAGAGGCTTTTAGAAAAGTGTGCAGTTCTGCTAAGCCATGCAAAATTTGTTCATAATAAAAACACCACAGGGGGTGGGGAGCTACCAGAGACTAAGGAGGGAGATAACCAGCAAAGTCTGGTATTTGCTACAAAAGAAAACTCACACAGAAAGTTAGCACAGACAACAACTTTCCCCTACCTTCTGCAGATCGTGAGCAAATAGATGAAAGGCCTAGAGCTAAATCATCAAAGTGGCTGAAAGAGTCCAAAAGCATCAGAGGGTCAGAAGATGGGACCTTTTATACAGGCAAAAGATGTAATGTGAAGACCATCATTTATTTAGGCAGGAGGTCATTTCATAAGAAATGCACTGTAGTAATGATTTGAATAAGCAAAAACAATGTATCACAGTTATACCTGTTTTTATGATGACATAATCATTCACCATGATCAGTTCTTTATCAATATCCTCAAATGACTTTTCCTTAAGAGAATGATCAGAGTTGTTCCTGAGGTAGCATCATTTCTAATGCAAGGGGAGGCTCCTTGTCTGACTCCCCTAGCTGTTAGGTGGAAATCTTAGACAAGCATTTTACCCACCTCGACAGCTCCAAAATCGTGTTATTTTCATCCTGTTGATGGGAAATGCCACTTCTCTCTCGATGGCTGCCTTTAAAATGGGTGGCAGATGCAGAGAGACCAAGTGTCCATGGAGCTCAGCAAAGACAGGGATCTACCAAGGTGTCACACATCGCCTTTTGCACACTTTTGTCCCGTTACTGTGCAGGTGTTTGCTCTCCCTGTGTTTTCTCAGGTGATCTCTGATGGGTACCATGTCTCATGTTCTTTTCACAGTGGTGTCGACAAGGCCAGTGTGTAAAATTTGGGGAGCTTGGACCCCGGCCTATACATGGCCAGTGGTCTGCCTGGTCAAAGTGGTCAGAATGTTCCCGGACTTGTGGTGGAGGCGTCAAGTATCAGGAGAGACACTGCAATAATCCCAAGTAAGGCTCCCAGAGAAACACAGCTTTTGGAAAGCATTGACCTTTAGCCTGTAACATGCTGTTTCAAGTGTGGTTTTCTTCCCTGCAGTTAATAGCAATCAACCAGAGTTTTACTGTTTGCTGTGTGTACTGTGGAGGGAGAGAGCTTGGTGGGTGGAACCAAAACCCAGCCGAGGGGTTCCTCTGGAGGTGAATATGATGATCAAGGGCTCCACTCATCATCTTAGTCTACACTAGAGCTCTGTATGCATACAGCCAAATGCCTGAGCTATTGGAGAACCCAGCAGCTTGGCGGCCCAATTCGTGTGTGTCTCTAACAGGTGATCTAGGAGAAAGTGTGTTATTGAATATATATCAATGCCTATTGACAGATCTGCCCAACTTTTCAAGAGAAGCCAGAAATACAAAAAAGATTACATGAAAAATTTCCCAAATTTGGAAATTTGACAGTAAATTTTATTTTCTTCAAAAGCAAAACCAAAGACCACTGTAAGGACTAATCAGATCGTCTGCAGGTTGAAACTGACCTGTGGTCGCCTGCCAGCACCCTCCTCCGGTCAAGCCATCTTGGAGTCTGTGTTCTGTGACAGTGTAGGAGCATGTAGGTTACTTGTGTGTGAGATGTTACTCTTTTGGCCTGGGAGAAAGAGCTTAGGCTTTGGAGATGGACTCCAGAGTCTGTATCTGTCCCTTCTTAACTGTGTGGCTTTGGGAAAGTCACTTGAACTCTGAGCTTGGGTTTATATATGAAATGGAGATTTAATACTCACCACAGAAGGTTTGGAGGGGATTATAAATTGTGTCTATAAAATGCCTGAAAGTCAGGTGTGGTGGAACTTTCCTATAATCCCAACTTGGGAAGCTGAGGAAGGAGGATTGTGAGTTTGAGGCCAATCTGGATTACATAGCGAGACCCTGTCTTTAAAAAAATAAAATAAAACCAAAAAATATTTGAAAGGTGAAGGAGTATCTAATGGACACTCAACGAAAGAGGTTGGGGCATATGTGGATTTCCTCATCCCATGCTCACCAGGAGAATGGGGTCCCAGAGGGAAACCCTACAGAGGAAGGAGGAGGGGCTGATGGTGTGCTGAACACTGGAGAATGTGCTGGAGAAAAATGGGATGGTCCCTTGGAAAATAGGGGCATTAATTTCATAACCCAGTTTGATTGGTGACATAGCACAGAGAGTAAGGACATAGACTCTAAAGTCCAACAGCTGCTTCTGTGTCCTGGTTCTGCCACTGCCAGCTGTGTAGCCACTGCTCTTTAGCTCTCCCCATTCACAGAATCCTCATTTAAGAAGATGGGAATGATAGCATCCACACCAGCTGAGTTCACACTGTAAAGTGCTTCACAAAAGGTTCTGGCATGTTATAAGCATCGCATAAATGTCTGCTAACTGGAGAAATAAAATAAATCATGAAACTAGAGCAACAAGAAACTTTAAAACAGACAAATGGCACTTCATCCAAGTCAGCAGTCTGAGATGGATAAAAAGGCAAAATTTTTTCCCCAAATATAAGGGATGGTATGGAGATACTTTGATCATGATTTGTTAAGCACCACTTGAAAACTCACACTAATCAGGAGTGTTCCAGCTTTGGCACCGTTGACTGAAAGGCTGGGAAATTCTGGTTGGGTGGTTTGTCCTGTGCACCACAGGTGAATGCATCCCTGGCATCCACCAGCTCAGTGCCAGTGGGAATCAATTACTCTCTCTCCACCCCACCCCCAAACTGTGACAACCAGAAATGTCTCTAGCCATTGCCAAATGTCCTAGAGAGGGGAAAATTCATGTTTGATTGAGATTTACTGCAGGGGCAGGATTGTGATGAATTTATAACTTATACCAGATTACTGAAACCACGCTCTGTTACTCTGAATGTAGCCTGTGTCTTGGATAGAATTGTTAATATCGTTGTATTGCTTTACATTTTTGAAGCATATTTCATGGATCTGGTTTTCATACATCACAGTGTTTTATAATCTTGATATTTGCCCAAGAAAGAAATAGATTACCTAATTTAATAGCTCTGCTGGTAAACTACGTGAATGTTGCCCTTGAGAATTAAATCAAAACCCTTCTCCCACCTAGGGATTGAGACATTGTTCATGGAAATATCATATTGAAATTTTAGAGCTCTCTATTAAAAGAATTAATCACTAAAGTATTTCCACTTGTACAGTTTTGTCATGTTCAACAAGATTAAAGATAATCAAGATACTGTTTACTTTAACTATGCGTGAAGTCACAAATAAAGCAAGTAGATGATAGGCTTTCCCAAGACAATCGAATTAATTGTTCTCTCTCTGCTCTTAATTTGCTTTGTGGCAGTTAAGCTGTTTTCTCCCTCCCAACTTCAAGTTACTGATTTCTTTCTTGCCTTCAGTGGTCAGCATTTGGTTCTGCGCCCATCAGTCAGTCGAACCCTTCTCATTGTCACATCTGAGAAGCAATGTGAGGTTTCTATTTCATTTAATGATGTTTTGCCTAGAACTTATTTTGTTTCATAAAAATGAATTATTCCCAGCTGGTTTGTGGATTTATCAAATTTTTGAGCCTCAAAACAGTTGAAAAGTCATCTGATCTCAGAATGGCCAGTGCCAGGCACACAGGGCTGTTCCTTTATCCCAGGTCTGTAGTGGGCATTTTTAATTCTCCTGAGCCTTCTTATGCCTTGGGAGCCTCCCAAAATGCCTGTTCCCAATCAGGTTAGAACTGACCCTGGAGATAAAGCCTTGTCTAATTCAGCTGCTTTACAGATGAGCAACTGAGGTGGGCAGAGGGTCCTGTTCAGAGCAACAGCACCTGCCTGGGTACCACACTGGCCATGGCGAGGCAGGCTGAGCTCCACAGTCTGAACTCTCTGTCATTTCTCCTGGCTCCCCTTGTATTACATTATCACAACGTAAGAGAGCCTAGCAAAATTCCTATAAACTCTGTTCAATAAAGTGAAAATACACTAAAGCATTCTAGAACTTTCCTAAGCAGGTGTCCAGTAGAGAGTGACTTATTTACCACTTACTAAAATACCACTAGGCAAAGGGAGTTTGTATGAAAGCTGTGGCTCCAGAGCAGTAATTGAACAGAATCTGTGGCCCAATTTCTAACCAGCAATTTCCAGGTTTAATTATCAGAATTACCAGGGTACTTTAAAAAAATTACTGATTTCTTTTGAAATCACACACCATATATTCTTATGGAGAGACTGTTGAGGGCACAGGTATCCATATGTATATATATATATATATATATATATATATATATATATACACACCTATATGTGTGTGTGTGTACATATATGTATGTATGTGTGATACCAAATGATTCTAACGCCCATCTATACTCAATCAGCATTATAACCATTTGTAGTCAGGATGAATTATGCAGAAACAAATACAGCTGTATTTCATAGGAGTCAGAAAGACAAAAATCATTTGCTTTGACTTTTGTTTTCTGTTTCTATTTTTGTTTTTAACCATAAAGAACTCATTACACTGAGGGATGTTATGGGAAATTTTTGTTAATTTATCCTAATACTCATGCTTCAAGCTGCAGAAAATTGTACCTGAGTTGCAGGATTTGATAGAAAGCCAAAATTCTTGCTAGTCATTACTTTTGATCACTTTGACTTAATCCCATAATGAAAAATGAGTGTATATATATAAAAAACACACAGCATGCTACCCAGCACAGGGTGAGTATTTAATACAGAAGTATGAAGAACTTGAAAAATTATGATTCATTTATGTCAATTCTGCCTTAGAACAGCCCCAAATTCTTTATAAGCACTATTTGAGTTAGTTGTCAAAACTGTCCTCATCTTACAGATGATAAGGTTAAATAAAATTGCCTAAAGTCAAGCTGGAGAAAGCAGAAAATACTCACATCTAGGTCTGTCTCATTGTGAGCCATTCCTCCCTAACCATTGTGCTTACCGTCTCTTTCTCCCTCTTCCTGTGCAACTCAGTTTAATGCAGGGATAGTGGAGCAATCAAAGAATTCTAGACAGGGTCCAGAGGTCAGAGGTTGAGCTCTGCATTGCCTCTTCCAGCCCTATGACCGCCATCCAGCAAGGTTTCTGAACTCTACCTGCCATTTTTCACTTCGTCTATGAAATGAACAGGCAGCTATATTACTTTAAAAGTCTTTTCCATGCTACAGTTCCAGGATTTGAAAAAGTAACACATCGTGGTGCTCTTCCACATCATTAAAACCCAAAGGGGCATGATGTGCTAAATCTCAGACAGCACGTCTTAATCTGAGAATTAGTTTTAAACCTGCCTTGTAAAGCTGACTGGGAATATTGAGGCTATGAGACAGTAGTCTAAGGTTTTCTAAATGTTTCTTCGATGATCATTTAAGAACTCTCTAGGGACTTGATCTAGCACTGTGCCTGATGGATGTTTAAGCAGTTTCTCCAGAATATTTTGAAATAGCATAAAAATCTCATTCTTGCAGTGAGACTTTCTGTTGAATCCATCTCAGTGTGCAGTTATGAGAATTGGTACACTGTGCTGAAGCAGATTTAGGGGTGTTTTATAGCATATTTGTCTTCCTACAGAAGCAAGGAATTTTAATCATGTAAATGTGTTAACCTGGAGCCTTCTTTCATGTCATGTGTTGGCACTGTGTTTTTATATGTTTTATTCCACAGTTGAGTTTTAGCCTGTGACAAAAGCTACAGAACTGGGGACCTGAGAAAAGGCAATTGCCTTGTGCACAGAACAGGCTGCCTAAGTGGTCTGAAGTAATTTTCAGTGTGTTTGTGACCCTTTTTTCTTTGTTTGGCTTTCTGGTTTTTGCAGATCGGAGCCTGCCAACTAACAGCTCCAGGAGCTTACCATTACATGATAATTTATGTTCTAATGGGATTCTCTACCCTGGAAATGCATTCCCATTGTACTCAGCAGGAAAGTAGTAGGCCACCTGCAAAGTTAAAAAGTGATTATATGGATGAAAACAAGAGAATGTTTTCTCTCGGAGTGTAGAACTGACTAGAATAAAACACAAGAGTCAGATAGTAATCAGGACGTCAGATTCCAGAACTGACAAAGCTGGGCTGGAGAACATGGCAAGTGGGGTTTTCTGTTGCTTGTCCTGAGTGACCTGACCTTCTCCATGGTAGCAGGTGCATGGAAAAGTATAGGAAGGTGGTGGGAGTGTCAGGAAACGGGAGAAAAGCTAGAGATGCAGGATGAGACTGTTTGAAAAGATTTAACGCCAATGCATTTGGTGAGGGGTGCACCCAAATGCCCTCACACATTACTGAGAACATTTACGTGTGTTTACAGATTTCCGTGACCCATGAGGCAATATGATAAGTGTCAAGAATCAGTCATTAAAGAAATTGCAGAATACAAAAATTGGACTGGAGATGCCTAATAAGTTTGATCTAATGTACCAATCCAATTAATGAGCAATGGTAGTGGCTGCCTAAGGGTGTGTTGAAAGATTTCAAGGCCATGTGAAGCTTCTGCATAAAGGAAAAGAAAAAAAGGATTCCCTTATTAATTACATCTACCATGGATGCAAGAAGGGGTGTGGCAAGTTGTAGGTGCCATATTTACATCTGGGGAATAAACTGTGGGCAACTGTACACTGTGACAATACTTATTGTGACTGTCCCTTTTTGTATAATTGCATGTGACTAATAATAATCCATTTATTTATTAGCATTGAGGTTCTTGAACTTTTTTTTTAGGCCTCAGTATGGTGGCAAGTTTTGTCCTGGGTCTGGCCGTATTTATAAGCTATGCAACATCAACCCTTGTAATGAAAACAGCCTGGATTTTCGAGCCCAGCAGTGTGCAGAATATAACAGCAAACCTTTCCGTGGATGGTTCTACCAGTGGAAGCCCTACATGAAGGTGGAAGGTAATTCCATCTCAGTGAAGCTCAAATAAATGTCTTTATGTGGACAGTGATGTGAACACACAATCCAGGAGAAATGGCTGCCCATGAGTTTCAATATTGGCCTTCCATTCCCCAGACTCATCCTGGCTCTGTTTTTTGGGTTTTTTTTCCCATGCTTTCTTTTTCACAAGACACTCCTTGTCTCCCACGTCTGTAAGCAAAAGGATCCATATCCTTTTGGCATGTCCTTAAGTTTCTAAACTGACCTTTGACATTTCAGGAATTTTGTCTCCTATGAGTTGTCCAGACTGAAAACTCATGAAACCATCTGTACCGTAGGCACCCCATCCTCAGCAACTGACTTGTCAGGTGGTTACAGCATGGGAAGACTTGTTTGTTTGATAGCACGTATGCCTGTGTGTGTGTGTGTGTGTGTGTGTTCTTAACTTGAAGTTATGACTTGCATTTTACCTTTTAAATTAAATTTTTTTGATCTTGGTTAAACATCACAGCATTTATTTTAGTGCAATCTGAGATTTATTTCATTTATTTTAGTGCACACTTCATTACCCGTGCAGAATGAGCCGCACAATTCTAGTTGTTTTCTTTCTATTTCTACATCCACCTGTATTATCAGAACACATCAATGTTCCCTTGAGAAAGGGTACATGTGAATCCCAACTGCATGTGTGTAGAAAAAGGACAAGACTGAATTTTTTGGACAATTCATGGGTTGTTCCTATCCTCAAAACAAACCTGTGTCATCAGTTACCATCAGGAAGCTAATGTTACAATGAGAGCCTTCAAATCAAAGAGAGGGAAATGTCACTTACTCAGCACCAGCCTGGTCACATGGCTCTAGCTTGGTTGTGACTGTTTGTCCAAAAGCATAGTAAGAGACAGGTATGAAAATTCTGAAAGCTGTGTGTTAGGAAGAAGTAATGAGTAATGTGTGTAGACATTAATTAAAGAAAAGAAACTAGTTATATTTAAAAATTAAAGAAATGCTGAAAAGAAGGGGCTTATAATTATTTGAAGTTGCTTCAGAGTGCACCATTAATTCAAAGGCCAAGAATCTCTTGGAAAATTCATGTTACCTTCTCACGGAGACCTCCCTTGACGGCCTCTCTAAAATATTCTTCATCCATTTCATTCTCCAAAGCCTTTATGCTTCTTATAAAATCAAAGGCAGGGGGAACACTCAGCAGAAAACACAACGATTTAAGCACAACTGATGAAAACACAGGACGGACTGAGAGTTCTCTCTATCCTCTGAGCTGTATAATGCACATAGGGGAATGAAAATTTTTGTTAATGACATTTCTTCTGATTTTTAAAAATGTATTATTGCTTTACCACACTTGGTCAAAATTACCCGCAAGAAATCCACCAATAAGGCAGGCTTACTGTGTCCCCTTTGTAATTAGGGAGGTCTCTGTCACTAGAGGTGACTCGGGGTGAGTGACCACCTAGGGAGGTTCAAGCAGATGATTCGTTAGGAGAGCTGGGGTTATCCCAATGTCAACTTCAACATTTTATGAATTTATTTTTGGATTTTTGAGCCAGTGTCTTAAAATGTAACCCTGGTAGGTCTGGAACTTGCTATGTAGTCTATGCTGGTGGTAAACTCATGGTCCTCCTGCTTCATCCTCCTGAATGCTGGAATTGTAGGTGTACACCACAATGCCCACTTGAAGATTTTTTTTTTTCTCTTGGTTGTTTACTCCTGACCCCATGTTTCTCAGCTATGGTTCTAAGACTCTGCTGGCCTTCACTTGCCCTCTGTTCTTCATATTGGCTTCTTGGATACTTTTTTGGCATTTCCCATGTTTTATCTTTCATTCAAAATATAGTGTTTATGGGCTCTGTCCTATTACTGCCCTTTAAATGGGTTGTGTGTTAGATACATAAAGAGAAAGCTAAGTGCATAAATTTATAACATGGAAAATGCCTTTTGTTCTTTCACTGTCTGCACTGCAGTTTTCATTAAGTAGAGAGCTTGAAATTTCATTCACTCACTCTGCAGGTGTTTACAGAGTTCTTTTTGTGTAGGAGATGCTCTGCTAGCTTACAGGAGAGTTACTGAGTAAAGAATCCTCCCCAGCCTTAGGATCTCACATCCTGATGGAGGGAGACAGCAGAGTTAAGGACCTGGGACGTCCCCCACTTCTCCTTCTAATGCTTACAACAGAACAAGAGACTGACCATGACTTGAAAGTGGACATGGTGGTAAACACCTGTAATCTCAGCACTTGGGAGGCTGAAGCAGGAAGACTGTGAGTTGAAGGCAGCCTGGGCCACATAGCCAGACTCTGTCTCAAAAAACAAAGCAAAACAAAATGAACAAGATGAAGATCTTATTCCTAAATAAGACCATACGTCCTACAGTAGTGAATGTTTTTTCCTCCTGTTTCTTATGGGTAAGTTCATAAACTTGCCCAGGAATTTGTACTGGAAAAACTTGTCAATTCTTGGGAGTGATAGAGAAAACAGAGGCTATATGCCAGCCAACTTCCTAACTCATTTCTAAAAATTAGAGGTATTAAGCTAAACTGCCATTTAAAAAATTGTACTTGAGAAACTTTTAATCTACCCACACATCTATATATTTTGCCAATAATAATTTCTCTCATACTTACTTTGTCTTTTATCGAGAGGTTTTTTTGAAACATGAGTGTTTGCAAACTGTTTACACATTTGTTGTAAAACTGTTGTCAGGGATATCTCTCACTGTCACCTACAGAAGGTCCCACGTGAGATACATCATCCAGAGTTCCTGGCCAGGGGGAGCCCTTTTGACTGTAGAAATTGGTATAACCACTCATTGATGATAACAAAATCTCTGTAAATAGGTAGCTTATCTTTTTTCAGTAATACAGAAACTTCTTAGGGTTCTAACAGTCAACAAAACCTACTTTATAGCTTTTAGGAATAGTTTATTTGTTCTTTCTTCTGTTTCATGATATGCTTTTACTCCATATATTTTATAAACATTATTGTCCCTGTGCTTTTTTTCTTAAGTATCTAAAGCATGTCTTTTTTGTAGATTGAATAATAGTTTAGTCCTAAACCAAAGTCATCACACTATGGCCTGACTTGTTTCTTAAAAAACAAGTTTCAGACTGGGCATGATACTATACATGTAATCCCCACCACTCGGGAGGCAGGGTGGGATTATCAGGGTCTGAGGCAAACCCAGGAAAAGCATGAGACCCTAACTGAAGAACAAGCTAAAGCAAAAAAAGGACTTGGAGTGTGGCTCAAGTGGTAGACTGTGCGAAGCCCTAAATTCAAATCCCAGTACCACTTAAAAAAAAAAAAAAAGTTGGAGCACAGTGACACCTTCGTTTACATATTGTCAGGGCTAGTGAAGCCTAAAATACTTCCTGTCTAGGGAGGCTAGCTACACAGCTCAGTTATCACATCTGTGGTAACCATTGCTAAGGGTTTGGAAAACAGAATTCTTATGTATTAATATTTCATCAATCCTCTGGGTGGTCATACCATGTTGCTTACAATTCCCTTCTGACCACGGCCTCTCTGGATCTCTTTGCTTCTAGAGGAAGATCGATGTAAACTGTACTGCAAGGCTGAGAACTTTGATTTTTTTTTCGCCATGTCCGGCAAGGTGAAAGATGGGACTCCTTGCTCCTCACACAAAAACGACGTTTGTATCAATGGGATTTGTGAAGTGAGTAAGAGAACACCGTGGGGTGTTGGGTCATGCTGTTTATCTGTATACCAAGAGCACACCATGAAGAAGGCTGGGATGTTCTTGCAGGTGACATGGGGAAAATAAACAAATTGTTCAGGTTGGATGCTCAACATCTCTTAAATTCCCCACTTATTTTTTGGCATGACCCCCATCCAATTATTTCAGCTTCTCTTTCACTCCATTTACCTATGGGTAGAACAAAAATAGAAGATGTAGAATTAACAAAAATGTTAATAACTGCAACCTTTTTTTGCATGTTTACTAAGTGTATTCACTGCGGTGTTTGAACCTCACAAATACATTTTGAAACAGCTTCTCTTGGTTGCTTTTCCTTTCTTGTCTCATACTCATTTTCTCTTTCATTTAAATTTCATTTTGAGGTCTTTGATCGTTTTAGGGTCAGTATCTGGCATTATTACGATTCAGTCGTAGACCGGCCCTAAAAACCTCACCTGGCATTAGCAGGTGACTATTTTAGTTTCACAGACATGGTAAATTATGCAACTTGTTCAGTCATGCAACTAAGAACAGCCCAGGAAAAACTTGAACCCCAGTCAAACGTGAGACCGGGCTGCTACCCATAAGCCACACTGCCTCCCTTACTCTGTAAATATAGAAAACCATGTATCTTGTAGTTAATCTCAGCCACTGGCTTCTCACAGCTTTGATTTTCTCACTTTTTTTTTTTTTTTTTGTCACAGCCAGTGGGATGTGATCATGAACTTGGCTCTAAAGCAGTTTCAGATGCGTGTGGAGTTTGCAAAGGTGATAATTCGACTTGCAATTTTACAAAGGCCTGTACCGCAACCAACATAAAGCAAATGGTGAGAGATACCACCATTTCATTGTCATTGCCAGGGGGACACACCTCCTGCAGCTGAGCAAGTGTGAGCCATGCTAGGTAGACTAGCTCACCTGACACTCTAACGATAGCATTTGTCACTTGTGCAAGGACAAGGGAGATAGGTGGGATTTTTTTCTTAGGCATTTCATCAGTGCATTGCACCTCAGGAGGTATGTTGAGTGAATACCTTCCTCCTTCACAATTTAAGCATGCCATCCAAGCTGCTACATATCCCACATGCATTTTCCAAACAAGGAGACTTTTTGCAAAACTTAGACAATCACACTGGTGATTCATATTTGAAAAAAAAATCTAAACATCTTAAGTAAACTTTTGAGCCCCATTCTCTGGATACCACTATGGTGGATACATGGCTGTAAGTTTCTTCTAGGTGGATTAAAAAGAACAAGAATTTGAGGCCTTTGTTGGTCTGGGAAAGAGGTGAGTGTGTGGTCCATCTATAGATGTGTGCAAAGTAAGACACTGGCAAAGTCACACTTTCTTCCTCTTGTGTTTCACCCCTGGGAAAATGAAATGACCGGTCATTTTTACTTTGTAAAAATGCAAATGCATTCCTGATTCAAAAACTCTATAAAAAGTGGGCACTGCACGTCTCACTGTTCTGCAGTGCACAGTGTAAATTCAGAAATGTATCACTGTTTCCACATAGAATATCATCCAGTGGTCATCATTCCTGTTGGGGCCAGAAATATTGAAATCCAAGAGCTGCAGATGTCCTCCAGTTATCTTGCCGTTCGAAGCCTCAGTCAAAAGTATTACCTCACTGGGGGCTGGAGCATTGACTGGCCTGGGAACTTCCCTTTTGCTGGGACCACGTTCGAGTACCAACGCTCATTTAACCGCCCGGAACGTCTGTACGCACCAGGACCCACGAACGAGACACTGGTCTTCGAAGTAAGCTCAATTTGGTTTCTGAACGCTGCATTGATATTGTTGACTCCAATCCTTTCAGTCCTGTTCTGAGTAGACTAACTGTCATAGTGCAAGGAGGAAAAGGCAGTTAGCAACCCAGTGTTGGGAAGAAGATAGAGTGCCTCCAAGAGAACGTGTTGATTTTCACATTTATATGCTGGCCTTTCACCATCATGCTTGGCTCTCTTGAGTGCCAAGGGATACACCAAGAATACTTGTGAGAATATTCCAACTTGTCTGTGTCTGTCATTTGGAGGACACTGTAGCTACTCTTGTCTTAGGTCAGCTGGCCCATGATGTAGAAATGTGGTAGAGAAAATGCTTCCTTGGGTGTCAGCAGAGTTCTAGTCATGCAAAACCATCATCATTTTACAGGTTGCTGTTTCCCTAGAAATAAGAAAAGAAAAACATATTAATGGTGGGGGGGTAATAACAGAAATGAACACAGCCAACATATTTCCTTCCAAGTGACTCTGAAAGATTAGGGTCATGTGTGCATTTTCTTAAGTCCTCATTATGTCTCTGAGCCTGTTTTTATCCCATTCACAAAATAGGGCAAAATGGCTTCATCTGATGGGTGAGAGATTTTCTTCAGTGTGTGTAGAAGTGACTCTGACTGTGCTTACTGAACACTTATGAAACAAAGCACTCATATTAGTCATTTTGAGCTTCACTTTCTTAACCTGCAAAATTTGAGGTAGTAAAACTTATCATTTTAATCACTTGTTCATTATTGTAACAAAATACCTGAAATATGCAACTGATAAGAGGAAAGGTTTATTTTAACTTACAGTGTTCGAGGTTTCAGTCCATGGTCAGTTGGCCCCATAGCTTTTTGGGCAGTATATTATGGGAATGTACAGAAGAAGTTCTCACCTCATGGCATCCAGGAAGTGAAAGAGAAAAAGGAGGGACCAGAGTTCCAATATCCCCTTTAAGGGCACACCTCCAGTGACATAACTTCCTCCCGCTAGGCCCCACCTCTTAAAGGGTCCACTATCTCCAGTTGCACCATGAGAAGAGTCTAGGCCTTTAACACATGGGCCTCTGGGGAACACTTATCTAAACTACAACATTTACCTCATGTCTTACCAGAAAAATAGGGAATCTAGTCTAAAGGAAAGTTAAAATATTTCCTTTGTTCACACAGCCAGGGAAAAGCAGAAGTGGACTGACATCCATATTTTCTCCTTCTGGGAGTGTGAAGTCTGTACTCAGTCCAGTCACACTGCTCTACTCTGATAAAGGAGACATCATTTGACACCACTGTTATTAGCATTATTATTAAGGCTGTACCATCCTCAGACTTCCTGTGTCTGTGCATTGTTCTATGCAGTTTCGTGCATTAGTTTTTTTTTTTTTTTGTCAGTGCTGGGGTTTGAACTCAGGGACTCACACTTGCTGAGCAGGCGCTCTTACTGTTTGAGCCACTCCACTAGCCCTTCAAGGTAGGATATTTTCAAGATAGAGTCTCACGAACTATTTGCCCAGGCTGGCTTCGAACTGCAGTCTTCCAGATCTCTGTCTCCTGAGTAGCTAGGATTATAGGTGTGAGCCACCAGAGGCCAGCATGCATTAGTTTCTTGAATGTCTACAACCACCTTACCAGGTTGGTATGGTTATTGCATCTCCATTTTAAGATGAGAAAACTGAGTTTTAAAGAGGTTGTGTTACATGTAAGTGGCAGGACTGAAGACTGAACTCAAATCTTTCGGATGCTGTCATCTAGGACATCGTCTTATACCAGACATGCTGGGAAGGCCCAACCTCTCAGCATGGTAAGGCTTTTCTCAGCAGGAACTGCTGTGATTGCTCTGTAGGAGGTACAGAAGCAGACAAGAAGTGGAAAATAGTGGGAAAACACACAGTGTGCCCTTTGGAAATGTCTGCCACCATTATGAATGTATAAGATAGCACGTCTTGCCCAACACAGACGTAAGTATGGAAATTAGAAGGCTGATCCAAAATGCAGATATTAAGAGAATTGCTATCAGAAGCCTGCTTGATGGTTAAATTTCCTTTCTGTCTTGGGTATATCAACGAGTTCATTTAAGACCATTTGCACTCACTCTTCTTGGTGCAGAGAAAACTATCCGTCGTACTTTCTCTTGTGGGCGTAAAGCATGCTGTGTCCTCAATCTTTGCAGGGCATTTTGGTCAGATGTGTAATTAATAAAGCAATTTTCAGAGGCAGATTCTTACTCTGTCTAGAGTGATGCAGCTGGTTGATCTTCCTCGTTCCCAGGCACAGTGGGTGATTCTTTAAACAAATACCACGCTACTGTGATGTCAGCGTTTGCAGCTCCCGACACAGCTCAGCAGTGAAAGCAGAGAAAATGAATTTCTCTTACCCTGTGTGTGGGAGTTTGGATTCCATGTGTGTTGAATTATTCTGGGAGAGTTTAGATGACATCCTGAAGTTTCCCTAACGGATTCTTAGAGTCTCTGGAACTTTAGAAAGCATAAAGTGGAAATAACCCGTTGCATTAAATAGTCATTGAGTTACACTGAATCTTGTGGCCTCAGCTTCTATCGGGGTCCCACATTTGCAGTAAACTCGGTTTTATGGTTGTGGATAAGGACGGTGGAAAAAGTGTCCCTGTTGTGAAACTTGGAGTGTTGGAAAGTACAGCACAGCGTTACACAGATAGATGAATGACACAGAGCTGTAGGCTATGGGAAGTTCTCTGTAGGAAAATCAGTGTCAGGAAAGAAAACAGCTTGTCATTGGATTAGGGGGCTGGGGGAGACTTTCCATCTAAGGCAAATCGTGAAAGGTGTGAGGAACCAGCCAGGTGAAGAGTACAGGAACTCGGGTTGAAAGAAGTGGTGATTAAAACCGCCATGTTGAGCATGAACTTAAGTTTTTTAGAACGAGGGAAAAAAAAACAAACCATGGTCCAATGTAGCTGGAGTGTGGTGAGAAAAGACAGCATTGGGGCATGGGGTAGGTAGGGCCACAGATTGTGTATAAACCGTGCTGTGGAGTTTGGGTTTCACGCTAAGAGCAGTGTCAAGATCTTACCAGAGTGAGTCGTGAAAAAATTCACTCCGGCTGTTGTGTGGGTAAGTGATTAGAGAGGCGGGGAGGGAATTGGGGAACAAAGAAACTGATTCTTCTAGAGTTGTAGGTAAGAGGTGCCAGGAGCTGAAACTGAGGTGAGGACTGTGAAGGTAGAGGAAGTGGATCTACTTGTCAGTTATTATGGAGTAAGACAGAAAGTTGATAGAAAAGGTCCTGGAGATGTGTGTGTTATGGACTCTGAGGGAGAAGAGTGCGTTGGGGACAGAATCTTAGACTTCTTCCTTTAGCTTTTGGAGGATGTGTTCAGCACTGTAACTATTGTGAAAATGCCAGGAAATAGGTTAGGGATAGGGAAATTCCATTTTAGCCACCTTCTATTCAAGATGCACCTTTGATATTCAAGAGTAGCTATTAAGCCAGGCATGGTGCCACACACCTGTAATCCCAGCTACTTGGGAGGCAGGGGCAGGCCAGCCCTGGCAAAGTTAGCAAGATCCTATCTCAAAATACAAACAAAAGGATCATGGCTCAAGTATAGAGTGATGCCTACCATGTACAAGACCCTGGGTTCAATCCCAGTCCTGCAAGGAAGAAAAAAAGACTAACTATTAAAGAATAGGCACTTGAATTTGTGGTTTAAATGCACCAAAGCAGCCTTGGATCAAACATATAAGTCAAGTCCTGGAAACACCTGAAGTTGTGCAGTAGTATGCCAGTTGCTAACTGAGCAGAGCACTTAGGTCCCAGCGTTCTTTGATAAGCTGCCTTTTGTTTTTTCTTTTTTTTTTGGTGGTCCTGGGGTTTGAACTCAGGAACTTACACCTGCTAGGTAGGCACTCTATCACTTGAGCCACTCTGCCAGCCCTGTTTTGTGTTGGGTTTTTCCAAGATAGGGTCTCACAAACTGTTTTCCGGGGCTGGCTTCGAGCTGTGATCCTCCTGATTTCTGCCTCTTGAGTAGCTAAGATTACAGGTGTGAGCCACTGCACCCGGCCTGATGAGCTGCTTGATAGTACCCAAATCAAGAATGCCTTGTGAGGATCCTGCTGAACCCTGGGTCAGAGGGACCCCCACACCTGGAATTTTGTGTCATGACCATAGCATTTTGTCATGTACTTTTGCCCTGCCCCTACACAACCACAAGCAGGAGAGTGGAGATGTCCCTGTTGTAGGAATTGGGATGCATCTGAGCTGTTCTTTCTGCCATGGTTCCTGCTGTGCGTGTCTCAACCCACACTCAAAAGCTGTGCAAGTTCACTTTAGAGTATACTTCCCAAGTGTTCCCTTGACCTCGGGAAGCAACCAGAGAACCCTGCTTTCAGAGTGTTGCTTTTGGTTTTAAGACCACGCTATTTATTCTTCAGATTTCAAAACCGCAGTATTTCCTGAAATGTTGGAAGACTACTTGATTGTGAGAGAGATGTTTCTTCTGGGTCATGGTGGTACAAAAAGAAGGATTGCTCTCCATGTAGGAGTTATCGAATGGTGCTAGTCTTAAACAATTACTCACAAACAGTAGTAAAAGCTAATTAACAAAAAATAACCACATGTAACTTGAGACTTAAGGTTAAAAGTACAGATGTTAGCTATATGCGGGCAAGTTTCTCAGTCATGTCCGCGTTTGTAAAACGGACAAATAACACTAACTCCTCCAGCTATCATAGGTTAATTAAAGGTTAGTTCAGTGACTACAAAAACTTATTCTCTATCATCATTTTTTTTTGACTCGGAGCATATGACAGGTATTTTTTATTTCTTTTAATTTTGGGGGCGGTACTGGAGTTTGAACTCAGGGCCTTACATTTGCTAGACAGGCACTCTTACTGCTTAGCTACGCCTCCAGCCCTGACATATATTTTAAAAGCACTAAAAGTAAACCTCAAACCATAGTTAGCACACTGGTAACCACGACCAAATCCAGGTCCCAGATCACATAATATGAAAACAAAGTGGATCA